TTTTCATCTCTTGATAATTAATATTCACATAATGACAAAATAAAATATTAATATAATAAAACTAGAAGGGATGTTAATCTTACTTATATCTTTACTATTGTCAATCTTCCAGGCACAGAACCAAATCAAAGTCAATCTTTTTTACTAATCATGTCTTAATACATAACATATATTAACTTCGTTAATTAAAAAAATAAAACCTAATATATTAAATTTTATTAATTAAAACAAATAAAATCTAACTTTTACCTTAATAAACCCTTCGGCATATATAAGCTTGATGAAGAGGCTTTCGGTATGAATACGATGCAAGAAGTCGCTCCTTCCCGCACGAAGGCTCGCCTGATTGCTTCTCTTTCACATGGTAGCAGCGTACATAAGTATCTAGCTTCACTCGCAAGTCGTGACATCGTCTCCCCTTCTTTATTTGTGGCATTGAACATGTGATGACTCCCTTTTATGCACGAGATAAACCTCACACTCGAGTCAGCATCGCTTGCTCTTGTTGATGTCTCACCTCTCTTCTTGGCTTGACCTTCCTCCTCTCAACAAAACCACATCCCTGCTCTTTCCCATGCTCATCTCCTACCTTTTGCTAGGGCACGGACTTCCTTCACACATGATGACATCGAAAATAAGTACGAGCCGCACATTTCTTCGACAAGGGTTTTTCTTCTCCTCCGACTTCGCTCCTAACAAGTAATTTTTACTTTTTTCCTTCTACCACTGCTCTCTCTTTCATTTCTTTTATCTCTCGCTTCGAATGAGACATCCATCTCTTAAGAAGTAATAAATGAGACGTCGAGACGTTTCAACCAAACCGACTCTACCCATTAAAATTTTCCTTTCTTGTATTTCACTTATTTATTTATTTGTTATTATTATTATGATTACTATTACCGGCTATTATAATCTCTCATAAAAATTACGTCTTTGAAATTTATGAACTTCACACCAACTAAACATAGTTCAGATTGAACATGAGCTTTACACTATTCTTCAAAAAAAATTAATTCTTGTGGAGTGATAACGAAAGCAAATCTGATAAATCTAGTATCTAAAATAAAGATAATTCAGCTGAACAATCTCCAAACATCTAAATCATAACAACATAACTAACACAATACTTGAAATCAAAGTACATAAAAATATTCAATAGTAGACAACTAACATGAAATATAACATAACACCCATGTGTGAAATCACTCCATCAACTCTATGCATCAGCATCAATGACAGTGGGTTTTAGTCCAGTGTTTTGTCTCGGTTGTTCTTTACGAGTAACAGTACTGGCTTCTGTCATTCTCTGTTGGCCACTTCTAGAAGTAGGCCTCTCCTGAAATTTCTCTTAGTTGAATCATTTCCTTATTTAGCATATGATGTGAATATGTGAGCAGAATTAGGGAAATTTCTCAAATGTTGTCCAGACTGTCTACATAAATAACATACCTTCAAACCAAATAGACATTCACCACAATGTTGCTTCCCACTTATAGCACAACTCTATAGTGTTGCTGTTAGTCTGAATGACAACTCCATCATCACAGGACTTTATCTTCTTACCGTTATACTCTCCAGAATGAGTTTTTAGCGTCACTTCCTTCAAACTCTTCCTCTTGTGCATGTCTTTATGCTTCTGAGTCTACTGAAAATCAATTTTCAGCCGCCTAGTCCTCTCCACTAGTACTTAGTAGTCTTCGATCTCAAGTAGTACTAGTGGCTGCCTGATTGAATTCTCCAATCCAGAAAGAAATTTGTGGCATTTATCCCCAATCGTAGGAATAAGATGTGGTGCATACCTCGACAACATAGTAAACTCCGCTTCATATTGCATAACTGATCGATCTCTCTGCACCAGCTTAATAAATTTATCATGCATCTATCTCTTGGCTGATAGTGGTACCAACCAATCTTTGATGTTTGCCACGAACTCCTCCCATTGCACTAAGTGGCTTGTTCTACCTCCAAATTTTTCCTGCATTTGTTCTTGCCACCACCTCTCGACTTCTCCCTCAAAAGCAAAAGTGGCAAGGGTAACTCTCCTCTCTGGTGGACATGTCATCCCATCAATGATTTTCTTTACCCTTAATAGCTAGTTTTCAGGTTCCTATTGGTCCTCTGCTTTAGAAAACAAACCTGGTCTCATGTCCTGAAAAAGCTTCAAGTACTTATCCATCGGTGGTCCTTCACCGCTACTGTCTTGAGGTTGAGGGTTCTTAATCATTTGTGTCACTGTAGTCATCAGCTTAACAAAAAAATTAGCATTGATCGTAATTTTTGGGGTATATCAGATTCAACATCATCATCATTTCTGAGCTCCACCTCCAGATCATCCATAATTCTGAATTAAAAATAAAAATAATATAATTAGACTTTTTTTAAATTTTATTTCTTTTATTTATAACTTAATTCAATCATTATATTGGCTCTTTCATTAAGATTCATGTCATTTAATCTAAACCACTGCTTTGATACTACTTTTGTCACGACCCAACCCGATGTTTAGATTTAACTAAGGTGAATACGGACGGTCGGACAGTGAAAATTATTTCTCTTATATTATATTTCTATTTTTATTTCTAATAGTTAAACATTCAAACATTCATCAAAGAACCACTAAAGAAAGAAGTTAAAACTAACAAAAAGAAATGTTCATATCTTTTCGTTTGATATTCTCATCTTCTGTACCCATTTGATTCTTCTCTTCTATTTATCTTAATCAAAAGTTTAAAACCTGAAGGATGTTAAAACAACATAATGAGTTATCTGAAGATAACTCATTAGTAATTACACTTATAAGCTACAATAATCTAAGTAAAAAAAAAAATTATATGCATGTTGATCTTTTATATCTTTATGAAATTTTTTACTATACTAATCTTTCACATGAAATTTATCTTTGAATATACTAATAAATGTATCAATGATCTTTTCTAAATGAAAATAATATAGATTTTTGTATGCATTAGCTTGAACTTTATTTTTACTTTATACTCTTTACATACACATCTATCTTTTTTGAGGATTACCTTCAAAACATTCTAACACACCCTTGGCTGATATTGCCCCGTCGGCATAACAGTTAGTGATCTACAAATCGCGGTTGTTTAGGGTGGAAATGTCCTTACCTATCCCTGACTGATATTATCCCGTCGGCACAGTTGTTAGCAATGTAAACATCACTTGTCTGGGGAGGTAAGCTCTGTCTACTCGCCCCTGACTGATATTATCATTTCGGCACAACGTTTAGTGACAAACTATTACAATTGTCTGGGGTGATAGAAAAATCTCTACGTGCGTGGGTACACTGACATCCTCTACCTGTACTATCAGGAGGTGAAATTCTCCTCTGAACATGCACATACAAGCATTCATATATAGTATATTTCATTCTTCCATTTCATTCATTCCCTTCTAGGAAACATTTTTCTTTATTTACTGATGAATAATGCAAGCTTACTATGTATATATAAGACATGAAATCAACTAACACATGCACATTTACTAAAATTATAGAGGTTAAATAATAATGTGACATATATACGTGATCATATAATAAACTAATATGTATATCTCTACTAAAGTCATGCAATATTCTGATATCATCCTAAACGTAAATGTTGTACAAAAAAATTCAACATACATATCTATCCTGTTTGACAGTATGAAGAATTTATTGTTGAACTAAGGAATGCATGAAAGAAAGCATACAATTTAAAATAGAAATAATTATGGGAATTTAAAAATATAATTACTCACTTCAATTAATAGAAGATTTTATTAGCTTAATCCTCTACTTAACCTCCGTGCTAGTATTTTACCAGTTTAGTGTCACAAAATCAATATCCTAAAATATTTTCAAAATGCACATTAATTTATGTATTTACATATCTTCTAAGTTAAAAGACATGAGGTAGGATTGTATTTGCCTCACATCTTCTAACAAGGCCCAAAATTCTTCAATATCAAAACTCAATTACTCCCAATCCAAATCGTTATTTTCATCTCAGGTAATTAATATTCACATAATGACAAACTAAAATATTAATATAATAAAATTAGAAGGGTTGTAAATCTTACCTTTATCTTGGTCGTCATCAATCTTCCTTACTCCAGACCAAATCAAATTCATTCTTCTTTGCTAATCATATTTTAATACATAACATATATCTAGTTCATTAATTAAAAATAATAAACCTAATATGTTAATCTTTATTAATTAAAATAAATAAAACCTAACTTCTACTTTAATAAACCCATCAGCATATGAAGCTCAATCAAGAGGCTTTCCTCATGAATACATTGCAAGAAGTTGCTCCTTCCCTCGCAATGGGTCGCTTGATTTCTCCTCTTTTGCACGGTAGCAACACACAAGGCGTTCTTCTTCTTGGATAGGATCGAGCTTCACTTGCAAGTCGTGGCATCGTCTCCCCCTCTTTTATTCATGGCGCCAAACATGCGCTGACTCCTATCTATGCACGAGACAAGCTTCACCCTCGAGTTAGCATTGCTTGCTCTGGTTGATGTCTTGCCTCTTCTTCTTCTTGGCTCGACCTTCCTCCTCTCAAGAAAGCCTTATCCCTGCTCTTCCCCCTGCTCCTCTCCTATCTTTGGCTAGGGCACAAGCTTCCTTCGCATAGAACGACACTGAACCTATGTAGGAGCCGCACCTTCTTTCGGCAAAGGTTTGTCTTCTCCCCCGGCTTCGCTCCTAATAGGTAAATTTTACTCTTCTCCTTCTACCACTGCCCTCTCTGTTTATTCGTGTCTTCTCTTTTGTTACTTTTATCTCTCGCTTTCAACAAGACACCCTTCTCTTAAGAAGTAATAAGCGAGACGTGAAAATGTTTCAGTCGAACCAGTCTTATCATTTAAAATTTTCATTTCATGTATTTTATTTATTTATTTATTTGTTATTATTATTATGATTATTTTTATCGGCTATTACAAAATATTTCTTGTCATTTGATTTCATCCAATGGATTTTCACTGTTTTGCAGGTTCTTCTTTTTTCCGTGATGACACTAGGTTGCGTGCTCTTCGATTTTTAGATCACATGCTTGTAAGACTATATTTATGAGCTTGACCTATGACTTTTCAAGCAAAATTTTGTGGAAATGATTTAAGTGCTTTCTTAGGGTTCCTGATTAAATGGTTTAATACTGCAGGAAAGAGATAATATGCAGAAAACTGAGTTTTTGAAGGCATTATCAGATATGTGGAAAGATTTTGATGCTCGCATTTTGAGATACAAGGTACTAATTAATTAACATTTTTGGATTTAATGTTTTTCTTTTTTAATTCTCTGTTCCATGTATGCCAAGTACTCTATATCGATGCTTATATGGCCTGGTTACTGTCTTTTTATTAGCCTAACTGGTGCTGTTCTTGTACTATTCCTTGATTTCTTGTAACCTTCTTGCTTGCAAACATATCTGATGATATGACGTGCGGTTTTGAGCTCATGGTAGTAATCCATTAAGATGCTCATGCTTCTCTCCTTCTAAGAATCTATGAGTACTTGACACGATCCATAACATCTTACTGAACTTGATTTGGGAGTCCTATTGTAAGAATTGTTGCATGCTACTTGTTCTGGTTATGCAGATTAGCTTCTGATTTCATCTTCCAGTAGTCTGTTGAATGTAATATATTTACCATTTTCCAATTGAATCGGAGAAGAACTTTGTTCATCAATTTTCTGTATGCAATACAGGTTCTTCCACCTCTTTGTGCAGAGCTTAGGAACATGGTCATGCAACCTATGATTTTACCGATGGTTCTTACAATAGCAAAATCTCAGGTATGGTCTTATTTTCTTGGTTTTGTCATTTAGTCTTAAAATCCGTGTTACAAACTTTCTGTATGTTTATTGTTCTACATTCTCATATTACTTGAAAAAAAGAAATCTCAACACTGTAATTTTCAACTTATATGCTAAACTGTTTGCTTTTCTGCAGGGTAAAGGCGGTCAGACATGTCCATGTGCAATTTTAACAATTTATCGTGTTAGAACGGACAATGGTGAATGTAACATTAGGTTATTTGAGAAAAAATAAAGTATTCCCGTAGCAATTCTTGTGCTGGCTATAGTTACGCTGTCAAAAGTTAGATCCTTGGGATGCACTGCTGGCTAATTGTTGATGAAGATTCTTTCCGTTCTCTCCTTACTACTAAATCTTCTTATTAGAAATTCTATCAAATTTATGTTCTCTTTACACTTTGTATTTTAAATTTAAGATATATATTTCTTCACATAGGTAGTTAATTTAGGAAGCATAAAATCAAATTCAAATTGCATTTTTTACTTCAATTTTCCCATAAATAGGTTTATTTCCTATAATTGAAAATTAATCCACATCTCCTAATTTTTTTATTTCGTATCTTTTTTAATTCTACCGTTGTTGGCCCAATTAAACAGTGGAAACTCTAGGTCCTCCCTAGTCACTATCGCCTCCAGCTCTTTTGGAGCTCCTTTTACAATCAGTGTTAACCTTTTTTGTTAACCGGTGATTACCTTTCCTTCCCTCTGTTGTTGTCTGTAAGGTTACAGAACCATAGTTTCTGTTCTGCATTGCTTTTATTGCTACCAGGAGAACCTTAGTTAAAGGTAGAACCCTGTCACAAGGGAAATTGATTCTGGTTGTTGTTCCAGCAAAATTGAAGTAGGGGAAAAGGTTGTTCTCATTGTACAAAATGGAAGTAAAAAAGCAGAGATGGAACTTTCTGTCCATAGCAAGAATGAGGCAAAACCTGAGGAGATGCTGTGCAGAACAAGAAAACTACTGTGTGTCGGCGATAAAAAATTGGGGTGTGGTAAGTCGCCCGTAGGAAGCTGTCGATCGCCGGAATCGAAATCCCGTCGCCTGCTTCGGAAGGATGTTTTAATTTATATATAGATTTAAGTTTAGAAAAATATGAAATCAAACTAACCCCATAATTTTCACAATTTAAATGAAAGAGCATTCTACCTCAAACCCTGTATCTATTCCGAGGAATAAACATAAGACTTGAGGATGAGGCTCAATCAAATAAACTAAGAAATATATGACGTCCGTTTGGTTTGCGAAACCGTTTGAAACCGTTTTGCGAAACCGTTTTATTTGCCGACAAATTCTCCTATTTAATATGAAAAATTAAATAGGGTTTATTTTAATCTGGGTTCGAAAAAACATCATATGCGGGCAAGCCGCTATAGTTAATTACATCTTAAATCACCAAAGTCACTTAAGAATACTCTCGATAAAAATAAGGAAAAATTATCTTCAATGACTTCAAATATATGAGACTTTTCAACGAAATCGGACAAAGAGTTGTGAAAAGGGAGTGACTCAAATTTGAAACATTTATTACAGAATCCAAAGGAAGAACTAGGGGATGCCACAGATCTAGAGGAGATCTTTGGTGACTTCTCAGTCTACCCTATGGTTTGGCTTCAGTTTTGAGTAGAAATATTCAAGGGATTTAACCTGCCAATTTTATCTATTTAGGGCTTACATTCGTGTGAAACGATCACACAAATAGCCTGAAAGATGTGAGGATTTAGGTCGGAATGAACGACAACATCAGAATCGTAAAACGAGTTAGGGCTTAGATCATACAACAGAGTTATACAAATGCCTAAAAAAAGGTTGAGGATTTATGTTGCGCTAGGAGAACAACCTCGAAATCATATGGATTGCTAATTTGATTTTAGGAAAGAAATGTTTTAGCTGGGGAAGACATGTTCTGTTGTTGAAGATGGTCGTCCTGCCCACCGCGCTAACTCCAAGCTCCTTGTCGTGACGAGTTTAAGTTTTATAGGGTGTCAGGTTATAATGTAAAATCCAGCGGCCCTATGGTTGTAGTTCTTCAGATATTTTATAGGGAACATGTTGAAGTTGTATAGTGTATAGCATAACAGTAAAATATGTAGCACATGACAAACAGTAGAGTATGCAGTAGATAGAGCAGTACAACATACGAGGTAAAGGAAAAGTAAAAAAAATACAGCAGGTAGGTGATTTGCAAGTAAGCAACATGTTGTAAACATAAAACAAACCGGTATACCTGGGAGGTCTGCTGTTCCTTAGATGTAATTGATGCAACAGGTACAAGCAACACAACTGGAGGAAACAGACTGAAATGCTTTATATAAACGAAAACAAAGAAACATCGTCCAAAAATCTCGAGAAAGATCGTATCACGACATGAGAAATGCGAGGAAAACGACGAATCGACAAATCGATTAAAATCGTAGAAAATACGGGAAAATCCCAAAAAGAGACCACGAGTGCTTTGTCCAAAAATCCCAAGAAAACATATGAAAAAGTCTGAAAAGAGGGGACCGCAGGCACTCAGGTTGGTGCTAGACTTAACTATATATTAGTACTCGAGGGTCGTCGACAGCTACTCGGTCACCCGGCCGGTCACCCGGATATATAAAGCCCGCCACACAACTAGAAGGGTGTCCTATCGAATCTAACTCAGGAGGGTACTCCTTAGCCTAAACAGGTGATCAACAGGTGAATAACCGATGTTTAAAATGTATTTAAAATTTATATTTTCAGCATGCACATAAGTTTCAAACATGTAAAAAGTGGGTTGTATAAATTTTGTTTGTAGTGAAAAATGTATTTTTGTTTTAGAAAAAAGTGTATATGTTATTATCAAATTTGTTATTATCAATTTTGAAAAGTAGTTGTCCATGAGTCGATCGCGCTGTCCGACATAAGACTACCAACGACCTAAGAAGGTTCGGGTCAACTCCTGCTAGTCTTGTGTCGGTGAATGATATTGTCATCCTACAGTTCACCGAGTTCCTGAATCGGATCCTGATGGGTTCCTGAATCAGATCCCGATGTCGTAGGATGACAAATCATTATGCTCTACCTCCGTTATGCCTTTGTCATCACCGCCTTAAGCCCTAAAACAAAACCGACCTACTTGGACAAATAAACTCTCCAAATATGCATGAAAGAGCTATAAGAAACCAAAGCCAAGCCCCCAAATATGCATAAAAGGACAAATAAACTCTCCAATATCTCATGCTAAATAAGAATAGATGAAAAGCCTCATAATACATATCCTAACATGCTTGCAATAACATGCTTGCAAGAGGAGGCAAGAGGAGCTAACATGAGCTCAAAGTTACATTTTCAATTATTCCAAATTGCTTTTGAACAAAAAGAGAAAAGATAAGCTAGCATCGTCTCAAAGTCATGTTTCAACCTTCTTATTCACAGTAATAGAAATATGCCATAGTTTTACCATTTTAAGCAAGTAGGGAAAAGTGAAAAATCGATAACATGCTATACTTCTATCCTTCCAAACAGGTAATCAAATCTAGCCCTTAAAGTATGCTTGCATTTCTATTCCTAGATGCTTGAGTATCATGTATTCAAAAGTATAAGTGCCAACTAAGTCAGCATGCTGTATCACCCATCGCACCAAGCTAACAGGGACTCGACAGGGCAAAATCGAAAAAAAGGGCAAGACACAAAAGGGGAAAAGGTACCTCTTTGAAGCAAAAGAAAGTAACACAGGAACTTTAAAGGCACTCCCCAACTTCAACTGCTCCAACTGCAAGAGGAAACCAATTCAAGCACCAGAAAATTAAAGAAGTGAGAAAAGAAAATAGCAGAGTTACCTCCCTCAGAGATTTTCGGCATACCCCCAGGGCTACAAAATCGAGCTCTAATATATACCAGAGAAGGAGAAGTATGATTAAGAAGATACGATAGAAGGATCGAGCACAGAGGATATGATCCTCACAGAGGATATGATCCTCACAGAGGCCACGCTCTGCGACAAGGAGGGTTGAGAGCAGAGGATACGATCCTCGCAGAGGATAGGATCCACGACAATGATAAGGGGATGGGTCGCCTGCGAGGTTGCCTCGCGTGCGAGAGGAACGAGCGCGGGGATGAAACTTCAACGGCACGAAGGAGTGGGCCAGGTGAAATCGAGCGAACCGCAGTTAGGGCAGAGGTCGGCGAGCGCGAGAGGAAGAAACGAGTGAGGGGAATTAAACTAGGTTAAGGTTTTTTTTAATATAAGTTGTTAATTATAATAATAATAATAATAAAATATTATTTCTTATTATAATTAACACTTAAATATGTATTTTCCCCAAGACATGGCGTTCCCCTCTAGGCAAAATCGATGTTCCGGACGCATCGACGCAGTCTGTTTCGTGTTCGGAGTCGTTTAGATGAGCTCATTGACGATTGTGACGAAAACGCGTCACGACCCGAATCACGTCAAAAACTCGGCTCGAATTCGATTAAAACAGAAAGGCGAAGAGCGCAGCGGCGCCAAATCAACAAGTACAGTCAATCCTAAGGCCGACAGTCTTATAGGAATACTCCCTGAGTTCCTTCTGAGTAGTCTTACCTGCTAAGCAACAGCGGTCAAAACTATTATATGGAACGTCAAGTCGAGCGAAGAAAAGTTCAAAATTGCTAACGTGGAGGGTTCCTTCACTAGTTTTCAAGGAGTAGTCGACAGAAAGGTTTTAGTGCTAGATCCTAGGCTACTAATGAGGGAAAAACTGCACCTCGATCGAAAGCAAGGTCAACAAACGAACCCCTAATAAGTGTGTGCTAGGCGAGCACATCGCGCGTATTGGCGTTGACCGACGAACTCAACAGGACCAATACAGATTTTTAAGCCAACAGGCTGAGAAAGAAACGTAGAATTGAGCGCTAATTGTTTTCGCTGGGGAGTTAGCCAGTGAATATTCAATTAAAATCAGTGATCAGGAACTCTCCCTCTGGATTGCTGACCCCAAGGTGGGAATCGAAGTTTAGATATTAATCTTGA